AACATGGACACCAAAGTTTATATCTATAGGAGGTTTAATTCAAAACATTTCTAAGATGCTTAGTGTAGTTTTATTTCATATTGATTACATTTTAACCAGGTTTTACCATATTTTTATCAAACCTATAATGTTTAATGTGCATTTCAGAATATATATTTCGGGATGAGCCTATGAATGCTGCTTTGATTATATGCTCATATTGCTGCATAATTTGGCACAATTAAGGTTGAACACATATAAGGTGCATAACTTCACACGTTTTTCATGCTCTTCTCAGGGAGAAATGGGAGATTAGTGAAAATATGCAAATTGTGTCCTTTCCCCCTAAGGAAGCTGCTTTGAGCTACAACGCTATCCCCATTTACCTGGTGATAACCCACACGCTCACTTCAAAGGCTTCAAGTAGAACTCTGATGAGTGGCTACTTCTCAAAAACGTTTCACTCTGTTAGATGCGATATCTCGGGCGAGACAACCATAAAGGATAAATCTTGTTCAGTTTATGATAACATTCCACAACATCCGCTCAGCGTCACTACCAATGCTTGGAAGTCCCAATTGTTTGGACACAATCTAATGATATTGGTTGTAGCACCTTCGGAGGGGTCTAGAGAAACAGTTGGATTGTTATGTTTTATTATTTCCAAAGAGTCCAAAAATTCCTACAAAAACGTCAAATTATTTTCCAATGAGTTGGCGATATCTATAGGTATTGATAGCTTGGGTGAGTTTACTAGCTGCTGATGAAGCGGTTGGTAGTCTTTTCATTAGGTTTGGCTTGTAAAAGTTTAAGTTACCAGGCGGAAAGTAGTAGCCACTTTGTGGCTGGGTGGATGATTTCGCTAATTTAGCTTGAGCTCTTACACCTTCTGAAGTGTTTAGTAGCTGTAACATGATTAATCGCATGAAGAAATTGGTGGTTACCAATTTGATTAGTCCAGACTAATTCAAATTCCATTTGGTTTGAGCGGCTTACGCATTAGTTAATTCCTAAACGACAACATCATACATCACCAACACCACCATACATATATGAGCTGCTCTTCTGAAGCTACATAAGCACAAACAGGCCTTGAGTAATCATACAAACCATCGTGCACTGAATGTGCTTTCTCGCAAGCATGGAATCAAATGAGCCAACAGCTTCCATGAACAGACAATAATGGACGTTAATGATCACCTCAGTGCAAAGAAATGCCTCTAAACTTGGAATGCGTCGTCTACCACACAAAGGTGTTTATAGCAACTGAGCTGCTGTTTAACTACTTTAAAAGTAAGTTGGCAATTTTGGATTAGTCAGAACATGAGCGTAGGTCTCCTGCGGACAGACTTGCCCACAACTCCACTCTACTGCAACCAGCAACTGTAAGCACACATGCACACATTCGTTCCTAATAAATAGGATAAATACCAAATCCGAATTAGCTCATGCAATATCGGTGGGAGAGCTCCAGCTAAAAAAAACTGTGCATAAATTTTAGCAACTGAGCTGCTGTTTAACTACTTTAAAAGTAAGTTGGCAATTTTGGATTAGTCAGAACATGAGCGTAGGTCTCCTGCGGACAGACTTGCCCACAACTCCACTCTACTGCAACCAGCAACTGTAAGCACACATGCACACATTCGTTCCTAATAAATAGGATAAATACCAAATCCGAATTAGCTCATGCAATATCGGTGGGAGAGCTCCAGCTAAAAAAAACTGTTGCATAAATTTTGCCGTGGAGTTCCGACCTATCAATGTGTACTACGTTTCAAATGTAATACTTGTGGGTGATCCCCAATAATCCCCAATAACTGTTTGTTTGAATAGGCTTTATGGTCGCTGAGGCGCATTCTCAGCGCTCTTCGCGCTTGAAGATTACAGGTGACGCCATACCTAATGGTGAATCCGTCGTTACCCAGCCGATCTGTTTGGAAAGATATCTGTTAGAATTAAACTTCACGTCAAAAGCAAAAGGGGGCCAAATTTTCTCAGGATCTGGTGCACACACTGAAACCATTGGTTTTTTACCGCATCCACATAGGAATCTAATAATTCTTAGCGAAGGCACTTTAAGGAAAAGATAGCGAGAATCAACACGACACATCGGCTTGCACCTCGGATTTATATATAAGGCAGATATTCAACAAAACCCAAAAAAGCACGCAACATGCTTTTCGTAGACTCCTGGTGTGCTAATCACCTACTTTGGGCCTGCGTGGTATGTCAAGGTGCTCATGCTTAATATGGATGCAGTCAGTGATTTGCTTCGTAAATTTATGGCGGTTATTAGAGTTTGAAGTTCACAGATTCAACAAAGGTGCTGGTTATGCAAGGACGTCCTCCGTTGCCGCGCCCCCTTTCAGAGTTCACGAGTCTGAAGGATGCTTTTCTTATTCGTGCCCGGAACTGGCTCGTTCATCCTTTCTACTTTTGTTATCCAGGAGAGCATCTCAGCCGGCGGACAAAAGGTTATCTGGTTCGGTTTGGATCAACGGAAAGCGAGTTACTGTTTAAGTCTTGACGACACCCATTATTGATAAAACACAACGCATTTTAATCCGTCTGCGTAGCACCGAGGATTTCGGTTATACTGAAGGAAGTTCGCTGAATTCCATCCGTACTGACCACGTTTCTTATCACCAGAAATGAAACAAACAGACGCTTGATCTCTCATGGTCTAGCGCAACAGGTGTTTGTTTTTGTAATGCACTACTCATAAGGTTGCTGAAAATCCGTCGACAGCCCACGACCGGTTTCGCCCTTTTTGGGGCTCATCAGGTAGGCGCCGCTTCCTGGTTTTAGTCAAACTTATATTCTGCTTGAAACCAGATTGCATGAACTTAGCGAATATACACTCATTTGAAAACAAGTTTGGTTGATGATGAGCCCCAAAAAGGGCGAAACCGGTCGTGGGCTGTCGACGGATTTTCAGCAACCTTATGAGTAGTAAATTACAAAGATATACATGAATCGCGATATCTCGAATATCGTAGCGACTGAAACATGAGGCGGCCTGGTGCAGCCCACTCAGTTGCCTGAGAACATCACAAACGAGAGACTCAGCTGGGTTCAAAGGTGTTTGTTTTATTTATTAACATGGAAACACGCGAATCTCAATACAGATCTAATAAATTCTGGTATGCCAATTCATTCTAGAAGTCACTGTGATTCACAAGGCCACCACAGTAAAAACATATTATTTCAACTCAGAAAACGTTTTGTGATATATTCCAGTGTTTGTTTTTTTTCATTGGACACCTTATCAACAGATAGAGAAGACAAGTGCGGCCTAAAATATCAACAATTTGGGCTGTTACGTTTGCGATTCATAATGTCCTGGAATGTTATGATGTGCTAGAAAGTTGCGCAAACAGTCAAACATTGATCTTGGACGACACTGGTAGGCAAACACTAAAGTTACTTAGAAGGTAACTTTTGTGAACCCAGTGACACGCTGTACGCATCTACAGGAAACTCTAATACGGTGACATCCTAGAGCTGCACAGTTTGATCTGGAGTATCAGCTAAGCGACTGACTAGTCTGTGGTAGACAGGGTAATGCACATCCGGAAGGGTTATCAGGGCACCTTAGTGTAATTTTGGTGCTCTCAATTTTAGTATTGTTTTCACCTCAGTCTCAATAGTTTGAAGTTTATTCTAGTGTTTCGTTGGAGATGACATGATCTTTTATTGGAGTAGTTAATTTGTCCGGTAACCACATTCCGTGTACTAAACTAAAACTTCAGCCATATTTCTCAGAAAATCATATTGTGATGTTAGGTTGTTAGCTATTTTTCGAACGCTTTCTACAAACCAAAGTGAGTGAGCTTTCCTCCAATCCAACATTCAAACCGTAATATCACTCGCATAGTTAGTTCCTTATACTGCATCTTGAAGCATCAATTCTGACATTTATGAGAACGACAACTGATGGTATATGCCCGCAAACGTAGGTTTCAGTAATACGGCATTTTCAAGCGGGGCAAGAGTTTTATTGACTGAAGTTTTTGAGCCGAAATATGTAGCTGTGGCGAGTTAAAACATCAAGTATTTATGCACCTGGCTGTAAGTCGTTTCACATACTGACATTTTCATGAACGCTTAAATTGGGAGTAGTCAAATTAGGGTGCTTAATCTTTGTCAGAATATAACATGATTGTTCCCATATGACGTTTTGCAGATCACGCAATTTTATTTCGACCTAATGGTTACTTAAAAAAGCGCGCACAGAGGTATTCTGAAAAACTCCACGTTGTGCATCGCTTTTTCCTAGTTACGCAGAGTGAAGAGTGTATCATGATTGAACTGCACTGTGGCCAATGTTGCTTGCTGTCAAATGTGTTTGCACAAATCGTTACTTACAAGCAGCTGAGTGAAAATACACAGTTTCCAAACTAATGGACAAGCCCACCGAATCGATCAACAGCCAACTGATCAACTACCAGTAAACCCGCCGGAGCTTCCAATGTTGCGGTTTATTTTCGGGCATTTTCCCTATTCGCAAGACAGCATATCTGACTGTGGCAGCCGAATGAAGTCCAGGTTGTGTCACCAGGTTGTGAAAGCAAAAACTCCAGGAAATTCTGCATTTGTATCAGATAACTATTTGTGTAGTGCTCTATGAACCAAATGGACCTGCTTAAAGCAGCGTTACTTTAGACTGGTGTCCGTTCATTTCTAGCAAATTATTCACACTGTGGCGTTTGTACGCACATAAATAAATGGTTTCAGAAAACGATTCTCACTATCTGACCATCAAGGCTGTGGATAGTCATTCTGTCAAATGACGTGCAGTCTCAGTGTCACAACCCGTTATATTTTAAGACGGTTGTGGGAAGTAAGCTCAAAACGTGCGGTTCAAAATGTTTCTGGGAAGGAAAAGAAATATTCGCAATGAAGCAGGAAAAAAAGCGCTTACTTTATCTCTGTCGTTAAAGTCCTGAGTGGTTCCGTAACACCGGACAAATAAAAAATCTATGCCTTTTGTCCCCCTTTTGGTTGGGGACTCTCAATTGTCATGGAGTGTAAACAGGTCGCCGGTTTTCTTCTTTGGAGGAGTCACATCGTAAGTCGTCTGTCATTAGATCTTTGATAGGAACTGTGTTTCCGGAAGTTGATGGTGAATGTAGGTTGTGGTGCCAAGAAGAAGGAATGAAATCGGGCTGTACATGACATACAGGTACAACGGACCTGAATAGGTTTTCCATCTTTAAGTACGTTGCTTGATTAGAATCCGTCTGTATGTTTGTCACACAGGCGGCCAGTGGATAGTCTGTTGATGAAATGGTCAACAACTGCACCGGAATCGGTTTTGAAAATTCAACAAATGAGTTAGATGGAACATATTCCACCGATTTGCACTCTTCAAGGGAGACTTTTTGAGTAATATTAAGAGTTGCTTGAGGAAAAACTATTTGCGGTGGGCTAGGACAACAGTGAATTATGCCGGGTTTGTAACTACAAGTACTATACCTAGCTTGAGGAAGCGTGTTCTGGTTTATACATGCATAGGCTGCTGTAGCCGACGGAGAAGATAACGAATCATGTGCACTTTGAGTTTCCGTGCAAGAATAGGGCAACATTTCGGAATCAGAAGTGGTATGGTCGATAATGTACGGACTAATCGCCGATCCCAAATCTCGTAGTTCCATTTGGTCCAGAAAATGATCGGTTTTTGTAGGATAAATTCGATCCTTTTTCGCACTGCTCCGACGGTGTCTCCTCAAACCCAGCATCGCGAAGGCCAGCGTAATGCAAAACACCAACAGCGCTCCGCAGCCGATTCCACCGGCTATCAAAGGCATAGTACTCTCGTGCCTCGTGATATTTCCCTTGCTGAATACTGCTAACGAAGTACTTGATCGAATTTTTGTGGTAATCCAATTTTTTGGGTCTTGATGTAGTTTCAACAGTGCTTCCTTGCTGACATCATCACTGTCTTCTGCCAAATAAATGACCAATTTGGATATACTGTTTAGTGCCGGAGATCCATGATCTGTGGCTTTAAGCCAGACATCCAAAAATCCTACAGGAAGGTTGCGCATCGACTGACGAAATTTAATCACTCCGGTTTGGGGATTCACATCGAGCAACTTTTTGACAATAAAGCAGGTGAAAGTCAAGTCGGAATCGTTGTTTACAGAAATATGGTCGCTGTGACTGTTCCCATGAGACAGGAACTCATATGTCAAACGTCCGTTATGCTTCGGATCGTCCAGATCAATGGCGTGTATCCTTGTTAGTGTCTGGTTGAACAGAGTGGTGGATTTTCTCACAGTGATAAGATAGTCTGATGTGGTGGGAAATTGCCATTTCGGTGCGTGATCATTTATATCCTTAAGCACAATCCTAACGGAAGTATAGGAAGTCAGACGTGGTTCACCAAGGTCGTGTACACCAACCAGTACATCAATCAGAGATGTCGCTTCTCTGTCTAACCGATGGCTGCTCCAAATTGTCCCATCACTGGAAACGAAAAGTTCTACCGTACTCATGTTGCCTTTCGCCGTACTCCCTGACTGCGAAACGTGATCCGAATCAAATGACCTTGGTAATACCTCCACAAGAAAAAAACGCACTTGGCCATTCATGTTGGAATCAGCATCACCGGCTTGTAGTTTTACAATACTTTTATTCAGCCGACCTTCTTCGTCTATCTCAACCAAACGTATTCCATCAAAATGGATGTTTTTAGAATAGATTGGTCTCAAATACGTACCGGTATTGACTAAGGGTGGCGCAGTGAACACAGGGACATGATCGTTAACGTCTGTTACAGAGACGTTCACAGTCACATTCACGCTAAAGGAATCATTTCTGGAGTCCTTCTCATAAAGGACGATATGAACATGATCCATCCTTTCGGCTTCATAATCGTAGGGTATTTTCATGAAAATCTGCCCCGATGTTTTGTTGATGTTGAGGTGCCTACTTTCCCTTCCAATAACTTCAAATCTTGGTTGAGAAAACACGTCTTGATCACTTACAGTGAACAACATCACTATAGACCCGGGAAGTAGGTTTTCCAGGATTTCCACGTGTACCAACACACTGGTCTTAGATGTGTTCGTCGTCGTCAACGAACTCACTCCTTTCCCAGCTGTGACCATCACTTCTGGCAGAAATTCATCAACGTCTAGCAGAAATACAAATATAGGGATTCTGCCAGTCATTTTAGGAAACCCATGGTCACTGCACGTTACATTCAGCTTAAGTAAAGCAGCGATTCGCAGTGTTTGATCACCCATACTGGACGAGACTGGTGAAGCGTCCTTCAAAATGTTCTCGGCGTCCAGCGGCTCCTTGAGCACTAGTCGATATAATGATGTTGACTCTGTGAGTTTACTCACCAGATATAACTCAAATGAACGACGTGGCAAACGATAATGTTTATCCATCTTATCGGACCAGTGCCAACTACAGACCACCCGAGCATTTTCCCCCAAATCTCGATCAGTAACTGAAAAATATGCTAGTGTTACAGGGGGTAAAATTGTCTCAGGAATTTGGACAAAAACAGATTCGAACTTATCCTCTAACCACTCATCCAACTGGGACGCTAAAATCTTTGATGTGTACTGATTAGTTTCGTCTGACTTCTGGTGTGCAATAATGGGCGCATGGTTATTCGTGTCAAGGACGTGGACGAACACGGAAGCTTGAGAAGCTCCCTCCAAAGATCTTTGTTTTCCTTTGACCTCTTGGATGTTATCCGACTGTTCGTTGGTCGCCAACACATTGATCTGATACAGACCAGGAGAAGGGAATGGTTTTCGCAGGTGAACAACACCGGTTTCTGAATCAATTGAGAACAGTCCTTGATTCCCCTTCTCCGGTAAAAGTTTGTAATACACCTTGTTGAATGGAGGCGAGTCAGCGTCATATGCTTCCAAAGTGATTATCTGATAGTCAACTGGTGTGGTTTCTTTTAGCACCACAGAATAGTTTCTTTGTCTGAAAATTGGAGTTTCATCATTTGTGTTACGAACAGCAATGTGAATTTTTTGACTGGTACAATGGACAGGATTATTCCGAATGGGATGTTTTGCGTGTAACCATTCAAGATCTCCATCGCAGGCGGTTAGGTTGAAGTGGAATTCTCTGATCGTCTCGTAATCCAGCCTTTTGTTGACCAGAAGATACAAATCCCTCCGGCCCAAATTTGTATCAGTTTCATCCAGCAGGTGAAAATATTCTGAGGGCGGGTCAAGAAAATGTATCACAGTCTGCTGCCCCCCATTATCCGCATCGTAGGCAGCATTTAAATAAAACTTGGTCTGTCCAGGCTCACTTGACTCGTCAACAACTAGTTCCTGTACATTGGAATGAGGGTTGGAGTTGGGAAATTTTGGTGGGTTGTCATTCAAATCGAGCACAAGAATATTAATTTTGATTAGTTGTCGATTGTTTACCGATGCCAATAAGTTAATTCCACAAGTTGGAGTATTATTCCGTTGCCTCATTCGAGGATGATGGGGACAAATCCTTTCCCGGTCCAATCCTAGTGACGCTTCCTCAGTTGTGAACAGTTCACCTCGTTGACGATCCAATCGAAACCAGTCTAACCACGAAACTTCCACTGCCTCCAAACGCAAAGTGCGTATGTGCTCTGCTGGTTGTGCGACATCAAAAATATTTCCAACCAGAGTGTTTGCCTTTGGATGCTCGATCAGTTTGAATGTCACTTCGGAAATTTGGGCTGAAGTATGTGTGTACATTGTGTCAATTACCAACAGAATAAGTGCTTTGAACTGCACTGATTCAGGTTGCATATGTATCGAACAGGATGTCTGAGAAAGGTCATAAAAACCGCTTCATGGTGATGCATTCCACCTTGGTTAGTCTGTTTAGATGCTCTAATATGCTCCGTGATACCGGACTAAGAGACGGTTTATCGGAACATCGGTGAATCGAAATACCTCATTGGTCAGCACGACAACCAATAGGCTACCGGGCCACGTCGAGTAACTGATATCCCAATACGTGTTGCGCTGGCAAGAAAAAAATGTTCCATATTTTTCACCAGATCGCCTTGACTTTTTTTTGGACAGAGTAAATTAAGGGAGCTTTGCCACGCCAGTGAAATTAACTGGTCTCAGCTAGGAGAAAAAAGTGCTTTATGATCGTCTAACTGAGCGATGATCATAATTGTAAAATGACCTGCTAGTTCTGATGGTCAAACATCTCCATCCGTTATAATGGAAATGTCTATCTAATGTTTGCTTCGTCGGAAAGTACAGGACGCTACTTATGTTTCTCTTATGACGGCGAGGCAACATTTGACAGCATAATGTTCTATTTGTCCACAAAGGTATGCTTGTTATAGTGAGTTACCACATCATCATCCTGGTTAGGGTTTAAATTCAAACATCACTTGATTGCCTTGAGAAAAGCATCAAAATGTAGAACGTCTCAGGGCGAACATTACATTTCATACATTTCAAATGACCAAAATTTCCGTATGCAACTGACACAATGGAGGAATCAAATGAGGAAAGTTGTTGCAGCTCTTAAGACCTGCAGATGCGTGGTGCAAGAGAGAAAAAGAGTGGGTGAATTTCGTTTGTTGTTGGTGGAGGTAATAAAACACAATCTCACAGCTAGATGGATGAATTTGTGTGAGGTCACCAGCATCCATTTTAGGTCCGGCAAATGGTTACAAATATTTTACTGCCCGCTTGAATAGCGCAGTATAATGGTCGCTTAACTTGCAAGCGTCTGTTTAGCAGGTTGGAGAGCACGTGTTAGAAACATGTTCCTTTCGTAAACGTTTGTTTTATTTTCGGGTTTCGCAACTAAAACCTAATTCAAAAATCACGTGAATCTTTCTTACGGCACTGTTTTATCCTTTCATAGAACGTGACAGCAGAACGTTAGTAAGGATTGTCAGCTACATTTTACAAGCACTTTGTGGTGAGTAAAGGTTAGTCACTCAGCAATGAATTAACTTTCATTTCCAAGATATTACCAACCACCAAAAAAGACCCAGTGCAATCTAAAGCTGTCCGCGATTGGAAAGATGTGATGTCGAATTTGGTTCGACGACTCTCACGAGTCACCTCGTTTTGTATTCACCCGGACCATTCTCAAATAACGCCACTCAAAGTACATTTAAACCTGTGAATGAGACAACGATCTGTAGTTGCCCGTACGGCGTTTGTGTGAAATATTGCATCAGGTATCCAATAGGACCAGAAGATGCTTTTTCATCACCCACTACTCACGGGTACTTTTACCGAAGGTAGGACTAAAGTCCCTCGGCCGACACCTAACAGAGATTTAGCTTAAATTAGCTATTCTGTTCTCCTTCCGCCTTAAATTTCGACCAACCTCGGAACCTAGTCACTTGGCCTGACGAAACTTTTGTGTCGAAAGCAAAGCGCTGCTGATCAAGAGATCTACCGATTGTCACCAAACTTCTTCGAGAAAGGTAGGACTTCCTTTATGACCTTCTGGTCCGTACATTTCCGTATTGCTGATGAAAACAAGGTCAATCCTAGGTAGGTCCTAACAGTAACAGACGAACTGGTTTTCGGATCACTCCGTTGCGACGATCAATTTGGTTGATAGGTTCGAGAGGACTGTACCACAATCGTGTGTCGCTCTCAGTGGAACTCATCATTAGTGTTTGTCCCGTGAATCAAATGACGAGTGTGCCATCGACCGATTCAACAAGGATTTACAGCCAAAAACAATGAAAAATACACAGTGATGGTTAGCCGCAGTAGCAGTGAGGCTTAACTTATTTCTTTGTTCTGTGTCGACCCAACACTTAAGTTCTGTTCTGCCGCATATATAAAACCTAAACTGATTGTGCTTATTGCACTCGTGAAGCAGTTATCTATAGGCACAGTTAAAAAGAACAGCCAACTTGCCCAGAGAACTCTGCATTTCGGTGCAACACACCACTTTTTGGTCAGGGTCGGCCGTTTATTTTGTGGACCCCTAGACAGATCCACCTTATCATCCGCGGCCCCTAGAGGATTGTAATCCAGCTATTCAACAATCGTCAGACGACTGCGATTAGCTCAGTTCCTGTTTACCATATTTTGACCTTACTTCTAAGTGACATGCCTTATGTAGACAAAATAAGAAATTAATGACACCTCTGTTGTTTAAGTTCACTGAAAAACCAAACTAATCCAGTATGGCCTTGTAATATGAGGTTTACTGAGTTGTGCTGAACCATTCGGTCGCCAACTTTCAGGGCGAATAAGCCTCCAGAAGCCAGCTGAAGAAAATATTGCTCATTCCTAACTCGTTACCGCAGGACTCGTTTGTATTGACAAGGTTGTCATCTGTAACACGAAGAAATCTTTAAAGCCTAAACCTACACTCGGTGACTATGTTTCCTGCTTGTGTTTATTCCAGCACCTGCTTTGGTAAAGAAGGTTTCTTTTAGCCAGCAGCTGCACGAATTCAGATCTACATAGCTTTCTTTTTGTGTATTTGTGAGTTGTTATCAAACTTTGACACAATCTGCACCATCAATCTAGACTCGGAAGTTTCGCCTAACTGTTTCTAATCTAAAATAAAGAACAGGACCAAGTGGACTCACAAAGAGAATGCGTGCCTGTTTTCTGTAATTTTTGCATAGAAATGCTCAAATATTTCCGTAGCTTGATTCTTCTGTTTTGCAGTACCCTGCTCACACGAAACAAAATGCTTATCATCCACAATACCACCTAGCTGAATAGGAGGGAACTCAAGCTGATATCCCTAAGATAGTAATTTTTAACAGTACATGGCACGACAAGAAGAGGGGATCCATACGGAGGACTTCTTCGAACAATTATGATTCTAGTTTCCATAAATGATCTTGTCTGGCATACAAAGCCAGCCATTGCTCAGCCGGTTTATAAATGATTCATTTTAATCTCCAATAAACGAAACGCAAAGTAATGGGAACTTTCGTGATCACAATATGAGAACTTGTTGTTTGAATCAGACAAACAACAACTACAGCCAAACAAACTTTGCCACTCACTTAAGGAATACCAGTGTAACTGCGAACAAATTCTTAACTGAGAGTAATTCCGAATGACAACGTTTATGCTTTTGCCAAAAGAAATTCAACTCAGGGCGTTTCTTTCTTCTGTTTGGTGGGCCACAACCAAATTTTGTCCTGCACGGGGTAGAATAGGACAAACAACTAAGTTCATTTAATTCAGATGTGATTGAGACACTTATATCTGTTCCGTTCTGATTAGCACCGATAACCATGGAAGCTGCCTGAGATTGAAGGTGCGTTATATGGAGAGTTATTCCGGACTATTGTTCAAAACCAGCTCAGTAATATACAGTATGAATTTTGAGACATTTGTTCACAGTGAGGACATGTTCCCTGCCAGAATGACGATGACGACGGCCGTTGCCTTCAAGGTTTTTCATCAGTCATTTGCGAAATATTTTACGTTGTGCCATCCTACAGATTACCATATTATCTGCAACCTCAGAACATACAGGGGCCAGACTGTTCTCCCAATATTTCTGATACGATCGGTCCATTTTTGCAGTTTACTTTGTTCCAGCTTTCCCAGTCCGTCATCCCTTATGTTTCCTGGCAGAAATTCAACCACTCTGGTTTAGTCCAATAGGTCAACTGACCGAATCGGCAAGCCAAGTAAGCAGGCTCTTTAATGTATCGCATCAAGTCAATCGTTTAATTTTCACCAGACGGAGGGAGTGATTGACTAAATCATACGCTGTTATAGCTTTACGAAAACTGCTACTTATTTGTTTTGCTTTCTTTTATGGTCTGCTAGAACTCGTAGCAAACCTGAAGGCTGCCAGTATTCCATCATCCACAGCGTCTATTGTTTCCTCCCTTCTCGCTTGAAGAGTATTTTATCAAATCACCACTTACAAGTTGCTTGTTTCTGTTACTTTTCAAAAACGTAGATTAAACGCAGAATCATGGCACCGCGATTTCACCTTGCTTGAATCCGGATCGTATCATCTCCCATAGTGTCTGTGAAGCAGAACAAGTAATTTCAGAAATTTGGTCATCCCATGGGAATGATAGTTTGGCAAACAGTGTCGCCTTTGCTGTTTTGCATCTAGGGTATATGTTCAATATTATTAGCGTGGAAACAATATGTTGGTCGAACTCTCACGAAAACTGTGGTTGTTGTTTGTGGCTATCAGACAGGTGAGCGAAAATTTGTAATGGGAAGTTTGTGTTGATATATTAAAACATGGATCAATGAACCTGTACAAGGCATATGCATGAACTGATCCATATAACCTATTATGGAAAGCTCAGAAGACTTATCCCCCTAAAAAGACTGTCAGCAAATTTTGTGTGCATGCATGTGCAAATTTCCCTTGGTTTCCACATGAATGAAAATAGGATAGCCAAGTCAATGTTGGATAGAGTAGTTTCTGGCCTCGACTGGTTCGGCGAGGCCGAAAACATTTGAAAACTGTGAGAATACAAATGGCCAATTACGTTTTCATAAGCTGTGATTTCTGAAAAGGTACTGTGGAATAGTGGTATCCGCTACATCACCTGGAGTCTGTGGCCTTAAACTCATTAATGCCAGTATCCCACCGTTACAAACAAAACAGAAACCAATGCTATCTTATTCATGGTCATCGTCCCATCCGACTAATTGTAAGCAATTCTCACCTTCGGAAAAATCATCAGCAATGACAGTCTTACAATTTTAAAATACCCGACTGTAAGATAAATTTATGGATAAATACAGTTGTTTGTGGTTGTGATGCGTACCAAAGATGTCTTAACACCCTTGGAGTTTAGCTCTTTGCT